CTATCAAAGTCACGGGGTTGAACAATATATAATAATCCTAATCTTAGTCTCCTAAATTTGCCCAACAAGCTAGATAATTATTTACTTGTCCACTAAGCAAGTAATTATTCTCTTACCAATTAACTACTAATCATAAAAGGAATAATCATAATAATAATAATAATAATAATAATAATAATAATAATAATAATAATAATAATCATTCTCTATCAGTTTGGTGGATGGTGGGCAGGTTTTCTTATGAACACTGAATACTGCACTATTACGGGTGCTGAGCTTTGGGGACTCCTACAAGGGTTACTCCTGGCGTGGGACTTGGGCTTCCGTCTTGTCATTGCTGAGGTTAATAGTCAATGTATCACGCAGCTGATTCAGGCCCCGACGGATAGGTTTGGGACCCATGTAGCACTGGTTCGGGCCATTCATAGCATGTACGATCGAGAATGGAACATTAAGATCCAACATGTTCATAGGAAAGCTAATTTTGTGGCGGATCATTTGGCGGGCTTAGCGCCAAATTCATCGGTCGGATTACATCGGCTTTCGTCTCCTCCCCTGGCTTGGGGGCATGGATTCAGCATGATCTTGCAGAGGTTTCTTATCCCCGTCGTGTGCTAGCTTAACTTTCTAAGGCTTTGGCCTTCTCTCATTGTACCCAAAAAAAAAAAAGAACTCCCATTAGCCCAGCCACAACTTGGAAGTACAATAGAAAAAAAGAAAACATTATAAAATTTATTATTTTGGTATAAAATTTTAATTAAAAAAAAAAAGGTCATAAAAAATTCTCTCTCTTGAGAGTGCGATTTTTCCTCCATGGAAGCTTGATTCCTTAGCAGCAGCCCAACTTAATTATGTCTCTTACTTTCATCTCAATTCTCATTATTTCCTAACTACTCGCTCGCTCCTCATTTATTCTGCTATTATTAGGGTTTTCTGTTTTCCTCCTTTTCCTAGTGTCTTGGTTGTCTTGTTTTACTGAGTAGGTGTTTCCTTCTTCATCTACCTTCCACTATTTCTCTGCTGAACTCTATGGAGAAAGACATTTCAGAAAAGTTATGAGCATTTCAGTTATCTGAGAAGGAAGCCGAAATTATACCTATTGACCATAAAGACGTCCATCTTAGTGCGGAGGAATGTAGCAGAAGCTTATTCAGAAAAATAATTGGATCAAAACGAGCTCATCTGCTGGGGCTGACAAGAACTATCAATCATGTTTGGCAAATCAAATCATCAGTCACTATTAAAGAGATGGAAGAAAATTTTTTCCAATTCATTTTCGCGGAGCTAGAAGACAAACAGAAAGTGGCTAAGGGCAACAACTGGACTTTCGAAAATCAATACCTTGTGCTCCGTGATTGAAAAAAAAAATATCTCAGCTGATCATCCGGAATTTCAAAAAATGGACATATAGGTGCAAGCCTGGAATATTCCCATTGACTGGATTTCTATCGATGTTGGTTTAAAATTGGGGCGAGCCTTCAAAAACATCAAAGACATTCAAATTCTGCCAGGGGGACCCTTAGCAGGTAAATGCCTAAGGCTATTGGTCACTATTGATCTGAATCAACCTCTGCCAAGATGCGCGAATATTCAAATGGATAACAGAAAGACTATGGTTGAATTCAAATATAAAAAATTGGTCGGTCTGTGTTACTACTGCGGCATCATAGGTCACTTGGACAGAAAGTGTGATAAACGAGCCAAGGACATATCTCTTCAGGCGCTTTCATCAGGCTATTGTGGAGAATGGATCAAAGCAAAAGAGTGGCCATCTACAGGTCTCGCAAACACATCAAATAATGTTGCAGAAAGCACAATCCCTATTCTGCAACCTCTAAATAAACCAATCCAGCAAAATTCTTCCTCACATATATCCCCTTCCCTTCTTGATTCCACCACTAACTCGAAAGCACCATCAAACAATCACCCTCTACAATCTCCCATTGAACCTTCTGTTGTGTACAAATTATTTTTATTTTACCGAGCACCGAATCAAATGATTCGTTTCC